CCTGACCAAGGAGCACATATGCTTTTCAGAAGGCAGAGCGCCATAAATCCTTATGTCAAGTTTAAATATTATTTCTTTGCAATGTTAGCAAATAGATGTTTCAAATACAGGAGTGCTAATTAGAAATCACGTCTTTCGAAATATTTATTAAAATTAAATATTTGGAAATTATTTGAAGACAAATATGTATATAAATTTATTCATGTTCTATATAATAGAATAATTATAAACTTTATAAGTCATCTTGGGATTTATCAAATATGGATATTATTAGTTTTGGAGGGGCTTCGACTTTTGTATCCTCTTTCTTTGTGTTATTCACTGTTGACAATTCTGAGATATTTCAACGATGAAAATACTCTGTTTAATTTGCATATGGTTTTAGTGTTGTCAATGCTAATTTGCATATCTACCTATATATCGCAGTGTTATTAGATCGTGTGTTGGCTAGCGGATATTGGATAGGTCAAGCCGCTGATAGGTGAGAGCTGCTAGTGTATATAATTTTATCTCTTGTTCTCCCTTATTGTTTATTAATATCTTTAAGTAAAATAAAGGCTTCTTTCTCTTCTACCGATATATAATTTTCCTAACATTTATGTTACCTTTTAAAATTGTTCTGTTTATTTATTTTATGTATTTCTCTTTTATTCTGAATATAGAGCAATGTAGAATATATATACTCGTATAAAGAGATTTCTGTTGTATTTTATAATTAGGTTGATATATTGAATTATTATTATTTGTTGCTTGATTTTGGTATCCATTAGTATCATTATGATATTGTTCTGCAGTCGTGGTTGAAATAATAATCTTGAAAATATAAAGTCTTGATCAGAGATTTCTTTATTTGAACTAAAGGAATATATAAAAACATAAGTTGATAAAAGTAATGCCTGGCTTAAGGCGAGTAGAATAAGGAAAACAAAAGAATTTTTACATAATGTACAAACAGTTTTGAGCCGGCCATTGGGATAAAACAGCAACGAGTTTTTATAGGGGAAGAGTGACCTCTGGCGGTCGATTTAGCAGAGTATTTGAATCTATGGAAATTATAATTTAAAATAAAATGATATTTTTATATAACATTATTTAAAAATAAGGCTTATTTTTGATTGTAATAAGATTATTTATTAATCCAATATTTCGATGGACCAATCGTCCATCTTTTACGAGGGTTTTTGTTATGAAGCACGCAGCAGGTCGCGTGTTTCAGGTGAGCCACGGACGTCTTACTCTTTTAGTTCGACATCCCAAGTCTTCGCGTTCTTACTATAATTAAACCATCCTCGTGTAAACATTCATTGTGGTGCTAATTATACATAATAATAACAACTTTATTTTGGGGGTCGATGGAAGGCTGGTTAAACCGTTTGGTTTTCGACCACTACGACCCGGGTTCGATTCCCGCATTGGACACTTTTTTCTGAAAAAAAAAATGCTCCAATGGTTCCCGATTCTTGCAAAAGTCAAACCCCACCAGCGAGTGCAAGTAACCAAACGGGGCTCTGGCACATTTGTAAGTGCAAAGTCGAACTGCTTTTCACATGTGTAGACATGTGGTGCACTTACAGTAAAAAGCAGTCGCTAACTACCCACCATGATTATCATGGTCTGTACCACTTGTACTAGGGATAAGCAAAAAAAAATGTATTTCTCTTTTAGTTCGACATCCCAAGTCTTCGCGTTCCTACTATAAATAAACCATCCTCGTGTCAACCTTCATTGTGGTGATGATTATACATAATAATAATGATCACTTTTTTTTTTCAAAGAGGTTACAAGTTTTTCTCTAAAAATATAACGAATGGCCAGTCTATTTACATACTCTTATTTACAACATCGAAATAATAACTGTAAAAGTAAACAAAGATATTTATATTTACAATCTTGACTCCTGGTCAATGCTGTACTCCTGGCCCTCGCAGATATGGTTATCATTATAATATAATAACCCTATTTTTCAAAAGGTTACAAGTTATTCTCTAAAAAGTGTAACGAATGGTCATTCTATTTACATATTTTTATTTACAACTTCAATAAGTAATAACAGCAAAAGTAAACAAATATATTTACATTTGTTATCTTGACTCCTGGTCAGTGCTGTGGCGCTTGCCATTATGGTCCCCTGATATCCTGCAGCTCTCCAGCAGTCTTTCTATGGCATCTAATAATAATAATAATAAAATACAAACTCTGTCGAAATATAAAACATAATTCATTGAAAAGTAAATTTATATTATAATTTGAAAAAAAAAAACAATATAATAATTTGGTTGTCAAAAAAGGAACATAAATCATGATGCAGAACCACTCCCATTCTTTCAAGAGGTTTTCCATGTCCTCGTGTATGACCTCATCAATTTTAACAAAAAATATAGGGAAATAATATAAACAAACAAATGCAAAAAGGAAAATAAATTTGAACGAGAGAGCTAGTCGAGAAAGAGAAAAAAAAATCAAAAACTAAATATTATTCCTAAACAAAAAAAAAAAATAAATGGTTTGTAAAAGAATAAAAATTACATAACAAAATGGTTGTCAAAAACATGTATCGTCTGCTGGTAAAAGATATTCAACGCAGACGTAATAACTTGGCGCCAACTCTATTTATCTTCTGATTTTGATTGTTGGTATAACCCTCGAGAAGAGGGTTATCATCAAGAATGCCATTAATTTCTTTTCAGGATCATCCATTAAAATAATTGCAATAGTTGCATCCCTAACAAAATGTACGCCCATCCTTCAATGAAAGTTTAAAAACTTTTTTTCTTGTAATTTTTTAATACATGGATATTTCTAAAATAAAAAAGCACGACATCCAATATAACAAAAGTCTAAACATGAAAGAATTTTTTTTTTCAAATCTTACTTTTCACGAACCTGTTGTGGTATCTTCGATTTATTTATTTTGTTTTTTTTTATCATCATTTTTCTTTCCGCGATAATGGAAATCTATATCTTTATTTTTGGTCAAGAGATTACAAACTTTCTTCTTTTGATAGAATTTTCTTCCTTTTTTTTGGAAGATGGATAATTATTGAATTATTTTAATTAAGATTTTTTTCTGTTGACAATATAATATATATTTTAAAATAATAATGATATAAAATTATTTTTATATTTAAAAATATTTTGATGAACAAGTTTTTATACATTTAATTTGTGTGTGTTGGTATAATCAAATAGAAAAATATATTATTTTAATAGTTTATATATAAAATATAAATATATTAAACGATAATTTTATAATGTGCTATATAAAAACATAAAATTATAATATTCATTCATTATCTTAAGTGTTAATTAGTTTGTTCTTAAACAATAATAAAAAAGAAGTAATTAAAAATACAATTTTGAGAATATTTTGCAGAAACTAAATTAATTTATTTTTTTATAACACTACAACAACCTATGTGCATTAAAATTTATATATATATATATATATATATATATATATATGGATGAAATATAGTAAATTTTAATTTCCTATATGAAAAAAAAATGGAAAATATTATTTGCATAATACGTTATGTTTGGGTATATTGTAAATTTATTTAGGGTTTTAATATATTTTTGTGATGCATAGAGAGACCATAAATATATACTGATATTTAATAAAAAGGCATATATTAGTTTTTTTTAAATAATTTATTTATCAATATTTCAGTTGGCTGAATGCCAATCTTTTTCAAGTTACAACAACGTATTTATGTTATGTAACAAATATATTTATGGATTTCTCTATTTTAAAAACATAATAATATATTAGAAATAAAAATTGCATATCTCCTGATCGATCACATGAGAATTTTAAAAGGGACAGTGTCGTTTTAATGCTTATGTGAGCAGTTAGAATATGCCATGTTTATTGTTAATATCAACACCTGATCTTTTCTATTTTTTTCTTATTTCTTACACACAAGTATATATTTTAAAAATAGAGCAATCCATAAATAAATCTTTAAATAAAAAGGAATATATTAGATCAAAATATCATTTATTTTACCAATATTTCAGTTGGCTGAACGCCAACCTTTATCAAGGTGTTATAACATATTTAATCATATATTTAATATATAAAGGTTGGTGTTCAGCAAACTGATATATTGGTAAAATAATTGATATTTTGATCCAATATATGACTTTTTATTTAAAGTAAGTATATATGTACCAATAATATATATTGTTTTTTAGATGATTTTAGAAATTTTTAATATTCAACATTATATATTTCCATGTTTTGTTTATATTAGAATAAAAATACACTCAATGGAAAAAAATATTAAGGAAGTTATACCTTTTAGTATGAATATCAGGATTCAGATAATAACTCTGAAAGATATTTGATATACAGTGACCTTTATTGAAGACATACGAGAACCCAAATGTGAGCAAATTTTTGCCTATGTCTCCTTAAAAAAAAAAACAGATTACCGGCGATATTAAAGACTTTCCACTTCCTTACGTTTTGTCTATAAATAAATATTGTAACACAGAAAAAAAATAAAACAGTGAAAAGTTATTTTTTTCAACTGAAAAAAAAAATCATATCATAAACTAAGTTGATGAATCATAGATTTAACTATTTTTGTGAACATATTGATGATTATCTTTCAAACCTGAAAGGTTCAGGTTCCTAATATATATTATTGTTTCTCTTTTTTATTTTAATTACTTTTTCTTGTATAATATGTTTATAACTGTTTCTGTCTAAAAAAATGTAAATCGACGCAATTATCCCTAGCCGGGATATCGCGTTTTGTGTGTTTAAATAAATAAATAAAGTTGATGAAACATCAAGTGTCATTATATATACTCTGTCTGATAGAATACCTGTCCCTATACTGATAAGGGCTTTATCCAGAAACCATGGGGTATACAGTTAAGTCATCCAAGCTGATCAAACCTTATATATTTTTAAAAACCCAATCACAGGCCGCAGTGCATTATATTGTATTATAAGTTGCTTTATGTATTATTTACGAACGGAAAAATAGTCCAGGGTAGCCTAGTGGACATGGCATCTGCCCGGCAAGCGAAACATTGTGGGTTCGATTCCCATCCCTGGACACTTTTATTTTTCCGTTCATCATTACTCTTCATAATTCACCCTTTCATACCTCATCCAAGAAGGTTAGAAATAGTCAATATTTCACCTTGAAATAAATTTTGATTTTTCATTGAAAAGAAACTCATGCGGTGTAACTTCAAGTGTCGTTTTACAATCACAAGCCGCAGTGCATTATATTGTCTTATATATTTTATAAAACATATTAAATAAATTTCACATATATTGATTCAGGGAACAGGCTAAATCAATGTTTAGTTGATTTCTGTTCCACTAGATGGCGCTCTGCCATCTAAAAAAGCACATGTGCTTCTGGTCAGGATATGTCTTTTTTATTTTTAATAAGTTGATTTATGAAGCAAGAAGTTGAATATTCTTTGAGTGTGAAAGCTTGTAAAAAATAGGAACTTACCCTCTATTATTAATTTGTTTATTTTTTCTTTGTCGTCTGTTTTGTATAAGTTGAATCTGGTTAGAACGATGTATAAAAATTAGATGATTCTTTTGTTACCTTAAATACGAGATAATTAACTCGTTTCTATATATATCTAAAAATGTTTAATGTTTAATAAATTAATTTTAGAAATCTGAGAATTGTCTTCAAAAACGATCCAACAATTTAAATCTCCTGGAGATTAATTAAATAATTTAAAAAGGTTTCTGGAGATGAGTTTATTTTTAATTCAAATACAATCTCAAGCTTTAGGGGCATTTCTGTTCTTCTACAAGAGGAAATCTACAATGAGTTTTAGCATCAGACGGTGTTTTATTCATTGTATAAGTTCTCCTGTGGAAGGGACAGAGATACCTGAAAGCTTAAGATGGTATTTGAAATAAAAAGAAACTCATCTCTTGAAACCTTTTTTATAAAAAATATTTAATTATATAACATATATGTGAAAAAATAGTACAAATGTAACATTGTACTGGGATAAGGTGCATAAATTAGGAAAAAGGCATCTTCTTATCGTGCAACTGAAAGTTGCTGATGGCTTGCGCCATCTATCGGAATAAATATCAACTATTCTCGTTGATTTTTAATTATTCCAGAATTGGCCAAATACCCATTCTTGATTAATCAAGAAAAGCTAACCACGGACGCGTTTCGGGCTGTTGGCCCTCATCAGCGTGGTGCAAGCTGTACCTCAACGACCAAAAAAATTGGTCATTAAGGCATCCTGAAAAATCATGAAACGGGTAGTTAAGGCCAGAATTGCGTGAGGACGCTACACAATGTGAAAAAATAGTACAAATGTATTATTGTACTGGGATAAGGTGCATAAATTAGGAAAAATATATAACAAATATGTATATTATATTTAATAGATATTTTCTGCTGTTTTGAGAATAATTACTTGTAGAGGAATTATTGGTCATTTGCTTGATTTTAGTATGCAGTCGTGGAAGAGATTATAATAAAATTAGTTATCAAAAATAGCTTTAATTGCGCTAAAAGAATATATGAAAACATAATTTGACAAAAGTAATGCCTGGCTTAAGGCGAGTAGAATAAGGAAAACTAAAGATTATTTACATAATGTACAAAAGTTTTGAGCCGGCCATTGGGGAACAACAACAATGAGTTTTTATAGGGTAAGCGTGACCTCTGGCGGTCGATTTAACAGAGTATTTGTATCTATGAAATATAATTTTAAAATAAAATAATATTTTTATATAACATATATATTAACAATTGTATATTATATATATGATATGTATATAAACTACTTGGTCAAAAAAAAAGAAATTTCTAAATATTTTTACAATCCCGTTTATAACGACTTAGATAAGAAACTTTAAAAACAAATTCTTATGCAAATATCACAACATATATGCATATAAATGAAGCTATTAAGGTATATATATTACATTGATTAAATCGATAGTCTGCCCTTTTATTAAGCCTAAAATTTAATTGAAACAACATGCGTGCCTTACATAAATATCCGAAAATACGTTAATCTAAAAATATATATATAATATATTTTAAATTTTTAAAAAATGTGAAATTAGTTCCAAACGAAAACATATTGGTTTGAAAGCAGACGATGTGAAGGAAATCCATTATATGCGCACGAACCATTCGTAATACTTCCATTAGACTTTTCCCAAAAGAATGGACAATTTTTTTTATTTATTTATTTCCTCGCCAGATGGCATCACGCCCTATCATTTAACTCCAAAAGACATCAGGGACTAATCATCCTTTCGAAGGCAGACGATTTTTGCCTTCAATGCTACTCTGGCAGAACTGATGTCTATAGTTCTTTTTTATTTTGGACTCCTGGTGCTACTAAATATTTCTTTTCTTTATCTTTTTTTTTGTTACATCCCCTTTTTTGTAAGTCCTTGAAAACTACCGTTGCTTCCGGTTACGTTTGGTTAAAAAAAAAGAAAGAAATAACAATCAGCTTCTATCTGTCATTTTGTCAAATCATAGACCATGATGACGGAAGCGTGAGTCCACGTAAAATCACTGAACAACTTTCCGTGAAGCCGTTTCTTTCTTTAATAAAAAAAAGTTACATGTACGTTATACAACGGTGATTTTTCTTGAACAAACTTTTTTCTATTTATTTTCTCTACTATTGTGTAATTTTTGTTATATAAAATATTGAGTATTCTCTCTTAAAATATATTTTTAAGTGTTGAACAATCTATATGATATTCTAAATTTAAAAAAGTGTTATTTTTAAATCAAAATAAAATGCAAATTTAAATATTGTTATTAAAGCTAATTTTTCTTTATTATATTATTAAAACTATTTTTTTTTTCGAATGACTGTACTCTTAACTGGGTACAAATGGTGTATAGCAATTCGCATAAAATATGAATTTGAAAAATATATAATAATAAATATAAAAGGAGAATGATATTTTTAATTTCAAAACTTCCCATCACTTCCTAAGAAAAACTTCCCATCACTTCCGAAGAAAACTTCCCATCACTTCCAAAGTTCATTACTTCCGAAGAAAACTTCCCATCACTTCCGAAGTCCATCACTTCCGAAGAAAACATCACTTCTAAAGAAAACTTCCCATCACTTCCGAAGAAAACTTCCCATCACTTCCGAAGTCCATCACTTCCGAAGAAAACATCACTTCCGAAGAAAACATCACTTCTAAAGAAAACTTCCCATCACTTCCGAAAAAACATCACTTCCGAAGAAAACATTCCATCAATTCCGAAGAAAACTTCCCATCACTTCCAAAGAAAACATCACTTCTAAAGAAAAGATCCCATCACTTCCAAAGAAAACATCCCATCACTTCCGAAGAAAACATCACTTCCGAAGAAAACATCCCATCACTTCCAAAGAAAACATCACTTCCGAAGAAAACACCAATCACTTCCAAAGAAAACATCCCATCACTTCCGAAGAAAACATCACTTCCGAAGAAAACTTCCCATCACTTCCAAAGAAAACATCACTTCCAAAGAAAACATCACTTCCGAAGAAAACATCCCATCACTTCCGAAGAAAACATCACTTCCGAAGAAAACATCCTATCACTTCCGAAGAAAACATCACTTCCAAAAAAAGCATCTCATCACTTCCGAAGAAAACATCCAATCACTTCCAAAGAAAACATCCCATCACTTCCAAAGAAAACATCACTTCTAAAGAAAACATCCCATCACTTCCAAAGAAAACATCACTTCCGAAGAAAACATCACTTCTAAAGAAAACATCACTTCCGAAGAAAACATCACTTCCGAAGAAAACTTCCCATCACTTCCGAAGTCCATCACTTCCGAAGAAAACATCACTTCCGAAGAAAACTTCCCATCACTTCCATCAAAGCCATTGCCATTGTACCACCTCCATTACCCTCTTAACTCCTAATAGCTTCTCCAACTTTTCTAATAATTTCCTATTGCAATTATTCAAATTTTTGCCATTGTGTTCGCCAGACCTTCATTACCGAAATTTCCTATTAAAATTTTTAATTGTATTTTTTCCTCTCTCTCTCATGTAGTTAATAATTACTGTTCTGATTGATTCCATATTTCTCTGAAATTCCCGATTTAATGGAACTGTCCATTGTATTTTACGGGTCGTTACTGGAGGTTCCTTGTACTCCTTCGTTCCCACTTCTAGGGACTCGGAATGGTATAAACCATCGAGAGATTTTGCGACACGGGATCGAATCCCTCATTGGGCACTTTTTCTCTTTAATTCAATTGTCCCCGATTCTTGTTGAAGTCCATCCCCACCAGAGAGGGCAAGTAACCAAACGGGGATTTGGCACTTTTAAGTTCAAAAGTCAAACTGCCTTCAACATTTATAGACAAAACTTAGGGAAGTTGAAAGTCTTTGTTGTCGCCAGTTTTCTATAGTTTTTAAGGAGACAGAGACAATTTTGTTCACACTTAGGTATCTCGTATGTCTCCAATAAAGATCACTGTATATCAAATATATTTCAGAGTTATTGTCAGAATCACGATATACATGCTAAAAGGTACAACTTCCTTAAGTGTTGTCCATGAGTGTAATATATATAAACAAGTCTACATAGTTACAGAAATAGCAAGAACAGCTCATAGAGAAATCGTGTATACTTTTGTAGAATCATCAAGGATAGCCCAATAGGAATATGGCTCTATTTACTCTATACTTATTTATATAAACTCTCATTAATATAATTATATTTTATTCCTAGTAAGGGTGGTACAGGCCATGATGATTATGGTGGGTAGAAGTTGGCGACTGCTTTTACTGTAAGTGTACCACATGTCTACATATGTGAAAAGCAGTTCGACTTTGAAACTTACAAGTATGCCAGAGCCCCGTTTAGTTACTTGCACTCACTGGTGAGGTTGAACTTTTGCAAGAATCGGGGGCCATTTGGAGCATTTTTTTTAATCAGAAAAAAGTGTCCAATGCGGGATTCAATCCCGGGTCGTAGCGGTCGAAAACCAACGGTTTAGACCACCCTTCCACCGACCGCCCATAATTAAATTTTAACTAACGTTACATCCTCAATGAGCAGGATATGG